TAATTAAGAGATTTCTCTAATCACTTCCTATAAAGGAATCTTCACAATTTTGATTTTAAACTTAAAACAATGAATAGTAATTTTTGTCCAATGAACCCATAGCTCGACGTATCTTTCCTCTTCCTTTCGTAATTGTCTTAAACAGTATGTGATATTTTATTCATTTATTTATTCATTCGCTCAACTCCGGAAGAAGAACATAACCTTTAGATTGCCAGGGTATGATGCTATATGGAGTCGCTAATATTGTACCATAATTTGGAGAATAGACAGTCCTCTTTCATCCGACTCGATTTAAGAGTAAAAATATTTAGCGAGAAAAATTATTTATGGCATAGCCTAAATATAACAACCTATTCTCCAGAATACGGTACAATATTCGGGACTCCATCGCGCTGGCACTCTAAAAGATATAATTTGCGTGCAAGACGATGAAAAAGAAGGTGATTGGACAAATATGTTAAACTGGTCTGCTTGGAAACGTGTTGACCAACAACGCTTCGAACATGGTGTACCAACGAGAGGGTGGGAGACAGCACGTACTGTCGCCGGTGCGTGGAGCACGTGTGTGCACGCGCCCGATGGCGAAGCAGACGGCGAACAGCTCGGCGAGCGGCGCGCGGCGGGTTACGGTTAGGAGCATAACCGACCTAGCCCAATCTCGACGACCCACGCGAGTCCCTGCAAGGGAGTAGCCGCATATAACGCGTTCCCCAATGAAGCCGGAGCGCAGAAGAGGCCGACATGCAGACGAGGGAAAAGAAGAATGAACCGGCAGGGGGAAAAAAGGAGGCGAAGAGGAAGATCGGGGTACCGGTGTGTGCTGTAAGAGTTAACAGGGCCGTGCGTGGGTCACAATGCCTTCGGGCTACGAAATCTCTTTCTTCGTCTTCGTCCGCGTCTTCGTCTTTGCCTTCGCTTCGCCTCCGTCTTCGTCTTTTCCTTCGCCTCGCTTTCGTCTTTGTCTCCGTCTTCGCCTTCGTCTTCGTCTTTGTGTTCACCTTCGTTTCACCTTCGCCTTCGTTTTAGTTCTCGTCCTCGTCCTCGTTGTTCTCGTCCTCGTCATCCTCATCCTTGTCATCCTCATCGTCGTCATCCTCATCCTTGTCCTCGCCCTCGTCGTCCTCGTCGTCCTCGTCCTCGTTGTCCTCGTTGTCCTCGTTCTCGTCATCCTCATCTTTGCCATCCTCATCCTCGTCCTCGTCGTCCGCGTCTTCGTCGTCCTCATCTTCGTCCTCGTCGTCCGCGTCTTCGTCGTCCTCATCTTCGTCTCCGCAATCCCTTTTCTCTTCGTCCTCATCCTCGCCGTCCTCGTCGTCCTCGTCGTCGTCAGGTACGTTCCCCGACTCGTTATGGAAAGCATACGGGATATTGTTGCTCGTATATATGGAGGGTACGAGGGAAGCGCGCTGCGCTTGTACTATGCAGATGATTCCGCGATATGGGCTATTCATTGTGAGTCATTTAAGAGTTTATGCGGTGGGTACGAGCCACGGTCGCGTACCGCGCGATATGTTATTATATTGCGTATCGAAAGGTCCGCCGCGATGGTAACGCATGCACCGATGCACCGCGCTCGCTCGTGCACCGATCGTAGCTCGCGGTCCTTCGCGCCGTCCGCGACGGGAACACCGCGGCGACTCCTTCGCGATGGAATATATAACGAGTGCAGGTGGACGGGCCGGATCCCCCGTGTCTTTCGGACTTTTCATAGAAACCCACCCAAGGAACCGCTGAGTTATGATTCTAGACGGGCCGCGGCCGCTATGAATTAAGGCCAGCGGTTCTAGGCGCTAAAGCGAACGAGGAGCCTGCAGCGAAATTTATTTCCACGCAGCCTCGTGTTCAGAAATAGTCGAATTTGAAGACGTACGGTCAATTTTCTGCTCGTTTTGCTAAAACCTGCCACGGCGTTCGAAGTCACGGCAGGCTAACCAATCCGTCAAGACTTCCGCAAACCACCCACTATGCATCGAGAGAAGGCTGTCGCCGGGATTCTCTCCCAACTGTCCAAACTACTTCGTGATTGTACTTGAATTTAGGTGTCCCGATTTGGTGTCAGCAACATCTGTTGCCTGCTGGGTAAACTCGCTCTGAAATATCTTATTATTTCGTTCCTATATTCTATACTAAATTGATTATCCTTCTTTATAGTTAGTTCTAAAACGCTTCAGGAAACGTTGTTTATCAACATAATCGGACGTCAATAATTACAATAATTGCGTTTAACTTTAACTAGTGTTGCACTGTTACCTCCACGATTGTAATCGTTTTTTAGAAGAACAAGAAAATTTATATTTATTGCGAGTTGTAACGACGAGTCAGATTCGTCCTGAAGACATTACATATAATCTATTAAAAATGAATGTCATTCATTTCGTGCAAGTCGAAACAAAATTTCGTTCTTCTGTTATAACTAGACTGCAGATTTCATGTATTTATAAGGTAAACGACTATAACAGATTACAATTAGTGAAAACATTTAAAGAATTTCTAGATACCGCTGTATTAAGTGCGACTCCTTAAACTGTTTAAAAAAAGGAATAAGTGTCTATGTAGCTTTTGCATGTTGCAATCAATGAAGACAATTTCTATTTTTCGTACAAATTCGTAGTCTAGTTTATCACGATCCACGAATGAACGCGAACGAAGGCACAGAAGAAACATTGCCTCGTTCTGTGAAATTATCAACCGTTTGCGTACCACGAGCCACTTTTGCGCTCTTCAGATTTTGTGTCGAGAAAAACCAGGGCATTTGGCCGAAACAGACGACTTACGGCCCATCCAAAATTTGTCGAAACGTGCTCAGTCTTTCAGACGCATGTATACGTCGCGCGTCGCATCGCTACCAGTAATCCAATTGGCATTTTGTTGTTACCTATTCTAAATTAATAGTATATATATTTTCATTCGTAACGTTTTATTTTATGTCTTACGGCTTTTTTCGACACATAATCGAAGGAGCGCTATTGCGCTCTTCGGCGCTTTTCGATCCTGTTTTTTCAGAACCATCTAAGATGCTAGAAGAAAGATGCTAGTCGACTCAGCTGTGAAAGAAATCGTAGCGCAAGGGCTTAAATACTAACGGCGATTAAACAATTCGTACTTATCGTATTATTACGAAAAATCTGCACGACGAGCCAAAGACTCGTAAAAGTGCGACAAGCGATTAATACCGCAGCAAGTACGGTAAACCCGACTTCGAAAAGATTGCGCGTCCGAGTGGGTCGAACGAGCTCGCCGAGCGAGCCGACGCGTCGTGTTTAACACCATAAGCAAGGATCGTAGTTACAAAGGAACAGCGTAAGGTCTAGCGGACATTGGAAAACACTTGTCATCGTGGTATCGCGATCAAGGTAATCGGAACGACGCGGTCCTTGCGCGATTCCGCGGAGAATCGGACAGAATTTAACGAGGCTGAAGGAGAAGATGCCAGGACCAGCGAGGCATATCCCGAGCCGTGTTTTCCCCGGCGGGAATCATGCTCCTCCACCGGGACTAACATTTTCTTAAAGGAACACGGATAGAGCACGCTAGATAGTCCGCGGCCGTACCGGCTCTTTTGTAGAGTATCGATGAATAAACAGGCAGAGTTGCGATAAAACGCCCGGAGCCCTCGGTGTTCCCGGCGCGTTATGCATGCGAAAGACCAAGGGTAAATGACGGAGGTGGCAGCGTTGATGATGGTGCTGATGCAAAACATGATAATAATAATGACGACGTAGACGTCGTCGGGAATGAAACGGACACGCGTCTGCCCGCGTCCCGCGTTTTCTCCGAGTTTTATGCGGCCCAGTCCCGACGCGCTTGCTCGCCGATCTCGGCTAGCGGAATGAACACGCGATGATCGGCCCCCGGTGCCCCTTACAAACCCCCCCTCCCGTCCTCCGCGGCAGGTCGGTGGAACCATCATTATCTCTATCTAATTCCCCTGGTCGCGACTTTGGGCAAAGGAATAATTGGAAGGGAAGAAAGGAGCCGCCGCGGCGACCCCTCCAGCTACCAATACTCGAACCGACTCGCGTCGTTCACGTGACCATCGGCCCCCTTTCCGATTATAGTCTGTCAAACCAAAGAGATATCTCCACTGAAATTAATCTGCGCCCAGAAGAAAGCTACTCGTTGGCCAATGGAACGGTCGAAAAGCGATTACCCGTTTACTTAGAGCTTTCGTGACCGCCGATTTCGAGGTTGCCGCGGGCCCTAGGCCCACCTGTTCTCGCCAAGCACTTTCGGCACACTGCTTGAAACAGGTTTTACACGAATCTTCATGACAGAACGTGTACATGTCGCGTTGCTCCAGAAGTTCTTTTTCGTAATGTGCGCACTCGACTTTTCCCCAATTAATTCTACAATTTTCTAAATTCTTTGAATCCAAGACGATCTACTGAAATAGAGTTGGTAAATAGAAGATATCGCCGAGATAGAGTAGCGGAGTCGGTTATACTGTGGGGTGACCAATTGCTCTGCGACCAATTGACCAATTTGTTTTCAGGCACAATTAACTTCGTATACTTTTGTTCATTAAAAAAATAAACAAAGTTCTAGCTTATGATCGGTGTCACATTTTTCGTTGTAATTGTTTATTGCTGAAATTATAAAGCCTCTTCCATAGAAAAAGATCGAATTTTCTTAAACTAAGAACAAGTATAATGAAAATAACGATAGATTCGACGCTACTCTTTTACCGCGATATTTCGTATTATACAATTTACCGAATTAATTTTGTGACGTCGATGGCAAAAGTCAAGAAGCGATCGCATAGAAAACGTAGAACATAGAAAACCATTTTTATTGAAAATTATTGGAAGGTGTCCTTCGATGGAAATAGCGTTAAATAAATACAGTATTTCGTCGTTACGAAGTAATACACATAGATTAGTTTTAGAGAATTTTTATTATGTTATCTAATAAGAATCATAATAGTGTTTTCTATCGCAATTAGATTTCCCGAAATACGCTGATAAAGCACTGTTAAGACGGTTTTCATGCGTTTGCAGGAGGAGTACAGCCAACGCAGACGCCTATCCACTCCCAGCGGCAGTCCAAGCCCGCCAAGACCGACGAGGCTGTCAAGATCCACGGGTACACTGACCAGAGATGAGGAAACCTTTTGCGACTCGACGCACACCCTCACCAGGGAAAATCAGGGGCAAGAAGCTGAACGAAAGGGCTGGTTCAAGTCTTTGTCCAGGAAGAATAAATCGAACATGAAGGTGAGTTGGTTTTACAGTAATGTCTCCCTTACCGACGCGCAGATTCTGCACAAAAATGGACAATTTGGGAAGAGGAGACACGATTATTCGAGCATTGCAACTCGTTTTTATAGTCGTTGACAATCGATAACCAGATAACCATAAAAAACAAACCACAAGGCTCGAACAATCTTATCTCCTTTTCCAAAATTGTCCATTTTTGTGGACAATCTGAGCGTTACTTAGGGAGAAATTACTGTACTGCAAATCGAAGCTATGCATCCAAAGTTCTAGCAGCAAATTCGGTACAGCTAATTCTCCCTAATCGACGGTCAGATTGTGCAAAATAATGACTAATTTGGAAACAGGAGACACGATTATTTTATATCTTTTATAATTTTTATAGTTGTTGACAATCGATAATGATAAAAAACGAGCCACAAGGCTCGAAAGATCGTGTCTCCTTTTCCAAAATTGTCCATTTTTGTGGACAATCTGAGCGTCAATTAGGGAGACATTACCATACTGCGAATCGAAGCTATGCATCCGAAGTTCTAGGTACAGCAAATTCTCCCTAATCGACGCTCAGATTATGCACAAAAATGGCTAATTTGGAAACAGGAGACACGATTATTTTATATCTTTTATAATTTTTATAGTTGTTGACAATCGATAATGATAAAAAACGAGCCACAAGGCTCGAAAGATCGTGTCTCCTTTTCCAAAATTGTCCATTTTTGTGGACAATCTGAGCGTCAATTAGGGAGACCTTACTGTACTGCGAATCGAAACTATGCATCCGAAGTTCTAGGTACAGCAAATTCTCCCTAATCGACGCTCAGATTATGCACAAAAATGGCTAATTTGGAAACAGGAGACACGATTATTTTATATCTTTTATAATTTTTATAGTTGTTGACAATCGATAATGATAAAAAACGAGCCACAAGGCTCGAAAGATCGTGTCTCCTTTTCCAAAATTGTCCATTTTTGTGGACAATCTGAGCGTCAATTAGGGAGACCTTACTGTACTGCGAATCGAAACTATGCATCCGAAGTTCTAGGTACAGCAAATTCTCCCTAATCGACGCTCAGATTATGCACAAAAATGGCTAATTTGGAAACAGGAGACACGATTATTTTATATCTTTTATAATTTTTATAGTTGTTGACAATCGATAATGATAAAAAACGAGCCACAAGGCTCGAAAGATCGTGTCTCCTTTTCCAAAATTGTCCATTTTTGTGGACAATCTGAGCGTCAATTAGGGAGACCTTACTGTACTGCGAATCGAAACTATGCATCCGAAGTTCTAGGTACAGCAAATTCTCCCTAATTGACGCACAAAAATGTACAATTTGGAAGAACAGGAGACACGATTATTTTATAGTTTTTATAGTTTTCATAGTTGTTGACAATCGGTAACCATAAAAAACGAGCAGCAAGGCTCGAACAATCGTGTCTCCTTTTCCAAAATTGTTCATTTTTGTGTATAATCTGAACGTCAATTAGGGAGACATTACTGTATCGCAAATCGAAGCTAAGCATCCGAAGTTCTAGGTACAGCAAATTCTCCCTAATCGACGCTCAGATTGTGCACAAAAATGGCTAATTTGGAAACAGGAGACACGATTATTTTACAGTTTTTATAATTTCTATAGTTGTTGACAATCGGTAACCATAAAAAACGAGCCACAAGGCTCGAACAATCGTGTCTCCTTTTCCAAAATTGTCCATTTTTGTGGACAATCTGAGCGTCAATTAGGGAAACATTACTGTACCGCGAATCGAAGCTATGCATCCGAAGTTCTAGGTGCAGCAAATTCTCCCTAATCGACGCTCAGATTGTGCACAAAAATAACTAATTTGGAAACAGGAGACACGATTATTTCATAGTTTTTATAATTTCTATAGTTGTTGACAATCGTAGTGACTATAAAAACGAGTCGCAAGGCTCGAGTAATCGTATCTTCTCTTCTCAAATTGTCCATTTTTGTGCACGATCTGTGCGTCAATTAGGGAAATCTTACTGTATTTCCGTTAGCCAATTAACGTTCTTACACGTACGTTTTCTTAAATGTAGTCGGTCGAACGCGATAATTACACGTGTCTTAATTTCTTCATTTAGAGGCACGAGTACTGTAATTACGATAACTAAGTGGGTCGCAAACGTTTCGTATTACTGGACTTTAGATCGAGGCTCGTACCCGTGGAGCTCGCGAGATCGTTTATTATGTATGAAACATTCGTCTAGTTTGGAATTGTAAACGGATACGTGATCGGATTTTTAATAACGGCGAGCGACATAAATTATTCTTGTTCGTGACATCATTCATCCGGAACGGTTCTATAAAGTAATCAAATTCAACAAACGTATCCGCGGGACTCGCTCCGAAATTGGTAACGAGTGGGCGATGTTTTTATAGAGAATGGACTCTGGATACTTAAACTTTGTTGCATGCATAATGCCGCGATAAATGCCTACGCAGTGACGCGGGACACGTTAGCACGAAAAATTAAAGATTCTTTCGCCAAAAATGGCGATACTTTGCTGCAGCGAACGCGTTTCCCGCGGACGAGAAACAACGCCAAATGGAGAGTTTGAAAAATGTTCGATATTCGGAGATCGAGAGAAGCCTTCGTTTGTGATTGTCGATTAAGGGGGAGGGGGGCATTCGGCTGAAAATGAAATTCCAGTAATTTTGTAAATAAAATTTTTAAAAAACATATGTCTATATTATTTCTTACACAGAATTTTCCATCGAAGGAATTTGTGTGAAAGATTTTTTTTCTTACTCAAAAATAAAAATTAGAAAATTAATTTGTACATAATTCGATTCTGCGTAAAAAATACCATAGAAATATATTTTTTCAAAATTTTTTAAAATAGCAGTACTCGATTTTCAGCCGAATATCCCCCCTTAATTTCATCAGTATACTAATTATCATCAGCCGAGGAAATATTAACGAAGTATTTACCGTAATTATTTATACGTATATTACATACCGTAATTTCGTCTCTTTTAGCTATCGAATTTATTTGCAAAACTGGCGATTCTCTGCGTAAAAACCGGTCGACAAAAAATAATAACATTTCCTCGCTTGAGAACCCGTTTTCGAGAAAATCGAGTTCGAAGATTTATCCAACAGATTCTCTATTGAATAGGAGTCGGCTGACTTGTCTGACCATGACTCGCCGATTCTACTTCTCCTGGATACTAATGCACGCGAACCTGACAAGTTTTCAAACTTGATTCTTCCACAAACGGAGCGCCGTACGAACAAATTCGATTTTTTTATTCGACTTATTTTCCCATGCAGAATCGCCTCGCTGTACCACGATTCACGGAACACCGCCTGTATACGAAAACCGATAGGTGAAATAGAAAACCGTAAAGAGAGAACTTCGGAATATTATTACTAAATCGCGGATCTTCGTGCAAAATAAAAATTGTCCAAATCGATTACAAGGAACAAAAATGAGATAAAAACGTATTCCTTCTTTCGATGATTTCAATAAATTGAGGAGAATGTAAGAAAATTCTGCAATTCTCCCGATGTCTTCGTTACTTAGAATTCTACTTACAAAATTAGTAGTCATATTTATTATAAATGCATAAAATCCGCAGTCGAATTAATTGCTACACTATTTTCGGCTCACCAAAATTATTAAAAGAAAAAGCATCGTTTCTATTTCTTTTAAGAGACTTAAACATCGTGTATGAAGCGTATTCATTGCGAATAGGCCTCTTACACTACGATTTCATTACACTTTTCACAAATCCTACAAAATCTCGAAATATTCGACACGTCGGCAAAACAATACAATTTTTGATCCGATGAAATAATTGCGACTAGATGTCAATTAACGGTTCAACAGCGTTTCACGTTCAACTGTCGATAATAATTTCCCCGATACAGTAATGTCTCTATAATCGACGTTCAGATTGTCCACAAAAATGGACAATTTAGGAAGAGGAGATACGATTATTCGATCCTAGCGTTTTATTTTTATAGTTACGAATTGTCAACAACCATAAAAACGGACTGCAAGGCTCGAACAATCGTATCTCCTCTTCCGAAATTTTCCATTTCTGTGCACGATCTGAGCGTCAATTACAGAAACATTACTGTAGAACAGAACAATTTAGTAGACATTTAACCTTAATAATAACAATATAACCTTGACATTTAACCGTTTGAGTCCCAGGGGTTATTCAGAAAACATGGTCGACAAATGCCGAACAGCGCAATAGCGCTTGTCTTAATTGATTGCGAAAAGAACCAAGCGGCGCGATAGCGCTCGTTAAGATTGACAAACAAAACAAAAAGAAAAGAAAAGAAAAGCAGCTATGCGATGTACGCGTGTCGCTAAAGTTTTATCGCGATACAAAATCTGAAAATCAGCGCGATCGCGCCGCTTGGGACTCAAACGGTTAATATTGGTTTGGCAACTAAGTAATTGCCGATTTGTTCAATGAAATACAAAATTTTTTTTTACTTGGAATGAAGTTTAATCTCGTAATGTATTTTCCATTTTGTTCGATGATCTTTTGCCATCTCTCTGACAACTTGAAAATTCCACGCTCGTAGAAAGTCTGATCCTTTTCGGCCAAAAACTGAGTTAAGTGAGATTTTACAGCGTCATCATCGTTAAAAGTTTTACCGCGAAGGGAGTTGTCCAGGGATCGAAATAAGTGGTAATCCGATGGCACGAGATCACGGCTATATGGTGGGTGTAACATCAATTCCCAACCAATATCCATCAATTTTTGCCGAGTGGACAAAGACATAATAATAATAATAATATTATTATTATTATAATATTATTAATAATAATAATATTATTATTATTATAATATTATTAATAATAATATTAAATATTATTATTATAATATTATTAATAATAATATTAAATATTATTAATATTAATAATAATAAATTTAATATTATTAATAATAATATTAATAATAATATTAATTATAATATCATTTTCCTTGACCGCTGCATTAAATTTGTTCAGTTGCTAACATTCACGGATAATAAAAAATAACATAATAATAACAATAATAATAATAATTTTATAATATAACATTTACGGATATCATAAAAATGGGAGTGAGAGACATCTATAACTGAAATCGGCAATTACTTAGTTGCCAATCCAATAGATTATCTGTGAAATCTTCGTCGCAACTCGTCGTCTCGCTCGCTGCCGGCAGCGTAAGAGCGTACGGTAAGAATCTACAACGTAAAAAAAAAACGAGATTAACGAATAGAAATGTGCGTTGCGGGAGCATTGATCGATGTCATAATATCGGCGAGACGAAGGAGGGACACAGTGTGATCCCCGGGATGGATCGGACGCGAGAGCGCTTGAAGCGAGCGAACGCCAGGACGCGGCTCCGCTCGAAACTGGAATAACTCCGAAGCGGGGCATTTTTGTGAATCGCATCCGATAACGAGCGGGACGGCGGATCGTGGTTCCGGTTATCGGGTTCGCGGCGAGCCCGAGTGAGCCGGTGCATTCATCAGTCAGAGCGCGCAGGTCGCTACGGAGCGGAGCCATTAGGCTAGTACAACCTCCAATTACCAGTTTGATTAAATGCTTAACTAACTCCGCGCTCTGTGGTTTAATTTAATCGCGAGATTAAGTGCCGATCAGGGGCTGCCTAGCTTAACCATCGGTCCGCGGAATAATCTCTGTCAGGGACCGATTCCGATCCTAGCCGCTTCGATAGGCCGTTCGGGATGATTGCGTGCGCGTGAATCTCGCTGTGGACGATGATCTATCGGATGAGCCGATGCTCCGAGAAAGAAGAGAAGAAGAAGAAGAAGAAGAAGACGATGGTCGTGAACAAGGAGGAGAAGGAGGTGGAGGAGGAGGAGGAGGAGGAGGAGGAGAAGGAGGATCATGACTCATGAAGGCGCCACGGATAGAAACGAGCCGGGAAGCCGACATTTTTCTCCTTTCTGCGCGAAGAATACACCTTTGTGCTCGGCTTTATTGTATTTCGTGTACTCGGTCTTTCCAGCCGCCAAGAAACCGCTCGTTTTTCCTCGCCTTTCTCTCGTTCACCGGCGATCACGCCGACGATACACGTTGTTTCCCTCTCGCGTTACCACCGCGTTCCCATTTCCACATCGGCCGGGACTTTTCCGCGAACCCGTCACCGTTACCGCCGCGATAATCGCCGATTCGCGTTGTTTCAGGCGGTGGACAAGAAGCCGAGGATACCGGAGAGCGAGATCTTGACCACCGGCACCGAGGACGAGGAGGCCTCGTCCGCGCCCGAACGGGTCTCCGTGCAGAAGAACTTGCGTTTCTTCGGCGACACCGATCAAGAATCCGTTTCGTCTAATAGAGATCGCAGGTGAGCAGAAGCGTCGTCCTTCCGGGCAAATCCCGTCCGCGTACAATTTCGTTCGACTTATCCGTCTTCTGGATTTTCAATCGACGGCTGAAAACAGTTGCAGCAACCGACCGAATCCCTTTTATCCGAAATTATTTTATCGGTCGGGGGTTTCTCTCGTTCCCGCTCTCGTTTGTACGGGTTCAATCTCCGAGTGAAAAAAATCGGCAGCGGAAAGCTGCCGAGCGAAACAGCATGATCCGCACCCGATGGAGGACAGTGGGTCGAACAAAGTAAACGTGGTGATCAAAATTGTAAGACACCTAGGATATTACTAGTACAGGAATTCAATGTTATACTTACATTAAAATGCATTTCATATGTAAAGCAAACTAGTTCGTCTGTAAGTAACATTTTCATAAATTTTTGCATAAAGCAACATAAAATATTTAGTTTAAAGCAACATAGTACAATTTTACTTGGACAAAATTATAAGACGCTATTTATAAAAATGAAGGAAATGTACAAAATAAAATAAAATTAAAAATATATACATATATACAGTAATGTCTCCCTTACCGACGCTCAGATTGTCCACTGAATTGGATAATTTGGAAAGAGGAGATACGATTATTCGAGCCTTGCGGCTCGTTTTTATAATTGTGGACAATTTATAACTATGAAAATGAACCGCAAGGCTCGAATAATCGTATCTCCTCTTCACAAATTCTCCATTTTTGTGCACAATCTGAGCGTCGATTAGAGAGAATTTACTGTATCGCAGTTCGAAACGGTTAGTTTCGAAACCTTTTCAACCTCTATTTTCAATCGTCGATTCAAGTTGACTCAAGTGTTCGTCGAATCCAGAAGAAAAACGACGCGTTTCCGATGCATGCTCGATTCATACCGTTCCAGAAGCAAACGAGCCGACGACCACGCTTGTTCGGGGCGTGATGTAACGACCTCCAGCCGCCATGGTTTGGGAATTCTGTCGCCACCCCGGAAACCACCGAGACTCGCGGAGAGCGCGTTGTCGTCCGGTGAGAGTACAACAGGGGACAGCAGTCAACAGAGTCAAAACTCCCAGAGATCCCAGAGATCTGTTGTATACCTCCATGCTGCTACAGGTACGTCGAGCGGAATAAACTATCGGCGATTAGTTCGCTATTAACCCTTCGCAGTAGATGCTATTTTAATTCGAGATCTAAAGTACAGTAATGTAATCGACGCTCAGATTGTCCACAAAGATGGACAATTTGGGAAGAAGAGATACCATTATTCGAGCTTTGCTGTTCGTTTTTATAGTTACTGACGATCAGTAATTATAAAAAAACGAGCCACAAGGCTCGAATAATCGCGTCTCCTCTTCCCAAATTGTCTATTTTAGTGCACAACTTGGGCGACAATTAGGGAGGTGTTACTGTACAGATCCAAGGTACAGTAATGTCTCCCTAATCGACGCTCAGATTGTCCACAAAGATGGACAATTTGGGAAGAGGAGATACCATTATTCGAGCTTTGCGGTTCGTTTTTATAGTTACTGACGATGGGTAATTATAAAAAAACGAGCCACAAGGCTCGAATAATCGCGTCTCTTCTTTCCAAATTGTCTATTTTAGTGCACAACTTGGACGACAATTAGGGAGCCATTACTGTACAGATCCAAGGTACAGTAATGTCTCCCTAATCGACGCTCAGATTGTCCACAAATATGGACAATTTGGGAAGAGGAGATACGATTATTCGAGCCTTACGGCTCGTTAGTTATTGACAATCGGTAATTATAAAAAACGAGTCATAAGGCTCGAATAATCGCGTCTCCTCTTTCCAACTTGTCTATTTTAGTGCACAATTTGGGCGACAATTAGGGAGCCATTACTGTACAGATCCAAGATACAGTAATGTCTCCCTAATCGACGCTCAGATTGTCCACAAAGATGGACAATTTGGGAAGAGGAGATACCATTATTCGAGCTTTGCGGTTCGTTTTTATAGTTACTGACGATCAGTAATTATAAAAAAACGAGCCACAAGGCTCGAATAATCGCGTCTCTTCTTTCCAAATTGTCTATTTTAGTGCACAACTTGGACCACAATTAGGGAGCCATTACTGTACTTCCATTTGATATGATTCATTGCGATTTATGCTTATGAACATTGAGCTCATCGGCAAGTACAATACAGTTTTAACAGCCTTTCAAACATAAACAAATCCGATACTGTCACAATGATTTTGAAAAATAGTATAACAATTTTTAGCCGCGCATCAGAGTCGCCGCGCGAGTGCAAAGGATTAATATAGATTGATTAACTATCGCAACGTAGATACTACTATACTACTCAATCTGCATCGCAACAAATTCATGAACAAGTGAACATCAGTGCAGATGCAAATGGATCAACAATTTATCAACCGGCGGTTTTCGAATAGTTCTTTTAAAATCGAAGATCAACAGTTAAGAATTTCTTAAAAAATTATTCAACAGCTGCAGTAATTTCATCCATAATTCCTGAAATTAATTTAGATCAATACCAGTTCTTTCGACATTATTGTTTAAAACAAAATTATACAGCTTCCCTTAAACATAGTTCGGTCATTATAAAAATGGGATTAACAGTTTCCGATTAAATGAAACGCGTTAAATAATCATTCGTTAATGTCCTCGGAAAATTCCTGTTTCTATTCTTGACGACGAATCTGTAACGTTGCTACGTGCGTTTCTAGTGGGCGAAATACCTGGTCCCAATGAGAGACGCAGGGCGGCCAGCAGGGAGGAACTAAATCGACCCTTGCAGTCGCACACGAGAACGGTATCGAGGAGCGTAAGCGTTCTCGCGCCCTGGAAGCCGAGACACTACAGGGAACCGTTCGAGATCAATTACGACCAGCAACTGCATCCAAAGTCAATGGCGACCATGAGACGCAGGCAGAGAAGCCGCGAGACGCTGAGTCGCCGTGGAAAGGACTCTCGTCGAAGCAAAGACAATCTCTCGAAAACCGGTAAACCATATTGAACATTTTTGTCTTTCTTAACAGGACACCGCACCCTTCGGCGATGTGCACAAGTTCTATTCGTGCCATGTGAAACCGGCCAGCTGAATCTGAAAGGGAGCGTTCCATTTTCAGGCACAATCAATCGCAGCACGTTGAAATCGAAAGACAAGCAGAAGGTGGATAGAACCGTTTCCACGGAATCGTTGGCCACCAAGTCACGCAGCGTCAACTCGAAACCAGAACTAAGCAGGTCCACGTCCGTTCCACGCGATCCGAACAAGAGCGCGGGATGGTTCAAGCTGAAGAGCAAGAAGTCCCGAGCTTGAAGGGGAGGCCATTGATCAATGCTAGTCTTGAGTTTCATAAGTAATTCGTTAATCGTAAGGGTTTAATTAATAATAAACGTGTCGTCGTGTAACCACCGCCGTTTGCGGTGGATAACCGTACGGAACTAATATTACCATTTTACCATTTTGTTCTGTATTCCAATGTGCAATGCAAGCAAGGCGTCGAGGTACGGAAGAATTAATGACAATCCAATTAACCGATGTTAAAATTATTCGAGGATCTTCCTGCGCGATTGTAACCGGGAGCAATGTAACGTTTTACCGCGTTCGGGGAACCACCGCCGGACTTCTCACCACGTTCGAACATTATCGAGAAGAAATTGTGGCCACGTGTACATTCGTAACGAAATGTAAGATGTACTGTAATGTATAAGCATGTTCTGTTTCTCTCTGATTAAAATCTAATAAAACATAGGAAAATTCAATTTTATTTCCGTAAAGATGCCCGCAGAAATTAGTTACGTTACGATCGGATGCCGTTCGAATTGAACGAAATGTAAATTTCTGTACGAATCTTATCCTCGAGGATAGGATCCTTCCCATCGATATAATCGAGCCTTCTCTCTGCCAGATTTAACAAATTAAATTTGTTGGGCGAGACGAGAACGCGATCAGAATATCATCGTTCGCTGATCTTTACATGATGAACATGTTTATGTCGTCGCTTGACAAGTTCGTAATCGCATTTCCAGTTGTTAAAAACAAGCATTCCACGCTATTCGTTCGTGTGACAAAAGTAAGTGAAGCGTGTGGTTTACAAGAGATAACAAAAAGAAAAAACAAAAAAATAATAAAGAACAGAAGAAATTAACTTTATTTCACCGTGAATCAGAGTGCCATTTCCGTTTCTATTAAGTGTACACACATTGTTCCAAGATAAATCAAAATTTCTAAACGTGCAAGGTATTTTAATCTACGAATGTAACAAGGTAATATCGCATTAAGATTAAGCTATAGTGTAATAGCGCGAAAATAAAATATTTTTCAAATTGTGTTCGCAACGATTATGTTGCGCAAGTGAATAATATAGCGGTTATGTATTATTTTTAAATGTTTCATTGTGCATAGATCGACCTGATCTTACTTACATATACTAATTGTAAATATTTGTAATAATAATCCTTATTTCTAACTATCTTCACTTTGCTTTATTGTGTGTCTCCACTTAATCTTTCTCTTCAGTTATCGTTAATTAAAAGCCGCAGCCTTTGTCACGGAAATGAATTATTTTACGAGAATACGGTGTCGATGCAACAGTGAATGATTCCTACGGGAAAAAGTTTTATCTGTTATACTGTAATATACCACCATCTCTACGGAATTTTCTTTTTTTTTTACAACGTGAATTGTCAACTGGACCACCAGCAACTTTCACTTCCTCTATTTGGTGCTACTTGCGTTATATGTATATATGTGAACTACTACATGTTTGCATGTAAATATAATGGATATATATATAGACCATTTGTAACGATTCTTCAATAAGTTTGTATTAACTATTAACATAGTTATTATTTTATCATATATGTGTAAGAGAAAGTGTTAAAATGCCTAAAGATGGAAGTGTCAGAATAAACTATATTTTGTAATGCAATAACTAATTTGAAATAAATAAACATGTAAGCACGGTGTACCATATGTTACTCTGTGCTGTGAGCATAACACAGAATATTTTCAGTACTAATAAAACATCGTAGCATCATATTTATATTCCATTTATTTCGTAACAACATGTAATCGATGTTGAACAGTTAACATTTACCAACAAATATGTTCTTTTTTTTCTGTTTCCACGTAACAAGATGAGATCTCGAAGGCTTCCTTTACGATACTAAATTCATTATTCCCACATCTTATGTGTTAATTATTTGTGTGTTTCTTTCGATAAATAGAAAGAACTATTACTATTCGAAAATGCAGAACATTTGGCAAGATTGCATGCTAATTTAAAATAATATATTATGCCTATAAAATAATGAAATAATAATAATAATAATAAATATTTAAAGAACCATGTAATTTGATTTATTAATGTCTATCTTATTATCGGTAATATTATCTCTTTTATCAGGGAAAAGCAACAACTGAATATTCTGGAGGCACAGTAATGTCCCCAACCCTTTCTTACCCTCCTAAAAAAAATCTAAATGACTAAATAACAAATGGTTCAAAGTTGATGTTATTGGTTTCAAGATGTCTACTCGGATGAATTGTTTATAATGTGTTAAAGCTTATTTATCGTTGCAAATATAGAAAAAATTGAATATTTATTCTTTATTTTTAAATCTGCCAATTTATCGTTCAAAAGAATATTCTCAAAGTACGGAAATGTTCAGGAGCCTCTGTTGCGTCTACGCCATGCAAAAGAGTTTATTTATTATCGTAAACGTAGAGAACAGATGATTATTGCCGCTTTCCCCATAAGATACGATGTAAAATCCATGAAGAATCAAGTGCTATTTGGGCGATGGTGGCGCCTCTAGTGGCGAAATCTCGAAACTTCTATCAGGATTTGTATAGTACCAATACGCGCAGCGGTAAATCACTCAACTGGTAAACAAACTTGCCAACCGTTGATATTGGCTAGTAGTTTCAATGTGCTGCCATTTAGTAACTGGCGCTGTAAACACTCCTGAACGGAGCTTCTAATTTTTACCATAAGAGGCACCACTATCACTATTAACACTTTACCGACCGGCAGTCGATTAATCGACTTTTTGTTCCCAGCGCTTACCGACCGGTAGCCGATTAATCAACTTTTGGTTCCCAGCGCTTACCGACCGGTAGCCGATTAATCGACTTTTATTCCACAGAGTTACCGACCGGTAGCCGATTAATCGACTTTTTTATTTTCCGTTAGATTCGATTAGGTTAGACTGGCAAGTAGCAAGCAGCAAGCATTTCTTATTTTGTATTCTGATACTTGTTGCTTTGCTCTGAAAGCACCCATATTTTAATAGTTTTTAAAAATTTAGCCTTCGCGATGAATGAAAAGGATAGTGTTGGTGAGTTTTATCTCGATGAGCTAGAATATGCGGCTGAGTGGCCGGTGAGAAGGGCATAGGATTCTCGAACCGTTACCGGTCGGTAAAGTGTTAAAATTAGCTCTGCAGGCGGTCTTTTTAATTACTTTGTCTATTGACATAATTTTATATCAGATCTGCAATTATCTTTAACAACGCGTTATTAATAAACACGTGCAAAATAAGACATAATTATAAACTTGACAAAATTTTATTAATCCACAATAAAGTACAATCATTTGCATTTTTGTGTGCATTTCAGTTAACTATGTATAGTTAGTGAAATTGTTCAAGAAATTGCATTGGCATTGTTTTTTCTATTATTATGTCAAGATATAATTAATAAAAGGAGTAATTTAATTTTAACATGGGAAGAAACAAATCTAAATCTATTTCATTTAAATATTTTAGATGACATTAAAATATAATACATAAATATAAATAATAAATTATGAATGCTGCCCCGATGCTGCCCTAGCCGAGCATGATGTCATTTGATATTTCATCTATAACTTTTTAATAAGAAGTTTTCAGACCTATGTTTATATAACATTTTTTTCTCATTTCTACTCATCGCTAACTGGTGGTTTCATGCTGACACATGCTACCATAAATATGCAGGTATACACAGGATTCATTGTAGTAGTAGCTATAGTTTCTCGCAAATATCTTGGAAACGAAGCCTGCACGATGGTTACATGTATCCAAAAAAATTGCTTACAATGTTAAGTTTGTAACGTATTTAAATTTTTATAAAAATGGTGAAATATACCCTCATCTGCAGCATTATCAAATAAAGTTAATACTTTTCTTTTGGCATTTCCACAAGAGATTGTTCGATCATAACATCAACGTTATTAAATTTAATGTTTTATCTGCAATAATCAAATATCTCATTATGATCATTAAAATATTGAATAAAACTAACTTAACGTAGGTTCGTTTATTTTATCCCAACAACAAAGCATTGTTCCAACCAATATTAGTGTCATTCCAATATATGTATCTAAAAATAAAAGTAAATCTAGTAAGTGTTGTAAAAAAATTATAGTAACTATAAACAGGACAATAAATGCCAACTTTTATGTATTTTTTCTTCGCCCAACATCGATCCAGTAATTGCAGTTACTACAAACGTAAGAGAATTTGTGACTGGTACAGCCAACGATATATCGGTACCAGCCAGCATTAGAAAGTACAGTACGGAACCACATTGATTGATAACAAATGGCACAATGTACTAGAAAAGAAATTTAGACTGTAATTTTATGCAAGCACGATATGACAATAAAAAACCAAACCTTTAACTTTGTAACAAGGAATGCAAGTTCTTTAAAAAATTGACCAATTTTGGAAGTTGCTTTCACATTTTCAAGTCCTACAGCTCCCTTTTTAATATATGGATTGGTACCACCCCATAATAATGCCACAAAACACAGGTATACAACAGACTCTGAATAATAAAAAAAATGTTATACGATATATCCGAGTGTCTTAACTAAGATATTACTTTTATACATTGATTATTAGGAATTATTTGTTCTTAACATGTTATACTACAATAAATCAATTTGTTTGAAGCTAATGGATGAAAAAGTCATGAACGGGTTCACGCTTGTTTGTAAACAGTTCAGATAATGCTCACCGAATGTTACAGCCATTCTTATTTAGAGATAATAGTGAAAAATTAGCTTATAAAACATTGATAAGCCTAATTTTTGATGCAATAAGTAGAACATCTGTAAAACGCAAAAATGCTAAGAAGCTTCGAGATTTCGCCACAAGAGGTGCCATTATTGTGAGTCTGCGGTAAATGTAGGTAATTAATATTTTCTATTTTATCGACAATTTTTGAATATCGATTAAGTCTATGAACTATTAGTTTGATAATTTCATAACAAAATATTAAAATTTCAAAATATCAAATACCTAAATGAATTGTAAGTGTTGAGTGGAAATATTATTTATTTATTCTATGGATGTCTCAAAAATGTCTCGCAATCCGGAAATGGGAGGTTCCTTAGCTGTAAAGCGTCAACCAATCAGATGAGAAGCAGTTTCTCTACCTGCTTCATAATTCTAAGCCGGTTGCCACAACCTTGGCTTACTATGTTTCACGCACTACTGTAGGTCGTACGTTCTACACTACGTCTGTGGTTGAATGAAATGGAACCCAAGCGTCCCAGCATCCTGATCACGTTGTTTCCATTAAGATTTTTCTCCTAGAAAAACTACTCTTGAACGATTCAATCGAACGATCAAGTTCGAACTTCAATCGAATTTCAAGTTCTGCTTTTTCAACATATAATTTTTTAATAAGTTTATGAGGAAAGTGTAACGATGCTTCAAGAATTTTTTCATTATGTGTGAGCTCTGTGTTTAGTGGGTGCGCGGGATTTTTAAGTCAGAAATCAGTAAGTACACTACTTTATTTTCGTAGAAATAAGCATTAAAAACATAAGTACAAGCAATGGCAAAACAGTTTTTGCAAAAGCAAAGAACAATGCGTAATTATAGAAATAATTCTATTAATACACTCTAAAAATAACGTAAAATACGAAATTTTTATTATATGTAGTTTAATATTTATTTTTAACTTTTTTCAAATGTGTAGAAGAATCTTGCAGATATTACCATGAAGTCTGCTAAAAGTATGGGAGCTGGTTCATTATGGGGAGAATTACCAGCAAGAGAAACTCTCAAGCAGGAAATAATCACTCCAGATATTATAGAAAATATTTGGAGACAAGTTATGGAAGAATCAAATAACACAGATTGTGATTATCAGATGGACAGGCAACCTGATTATATACAGTACGTTCTTTAAAACTTTTAAATTAAATATTAGCTTCTGTACCATGTTACATATTGCTTTTTATTTTACAGATTACCTATGGGAAACCTTCATGTGTTAAATACTATAAATTTTCATCAACAGCTACGAATGATGGTAATAATATATTATTGGTCTATTTTTCGACATAAAATACCTGAAATATGCTAAATCTAACGCAATGATTATCTATACATATATATCTTTGTACTTTTAGGAGGAAGGAATGGTACTTGGAAACATGACCACAATTGAAGCACAAGACTTACGAGATGTGAAAGAGACACAGAATTCGTTTCATTTTTTACCTGTACATAAAGAAAGGTATTAAATATATCTGTATGCATAATATTTCTTATATATAAATGTATTAACATGTATTATCCTTTTAGAAGCGCTTTTAAAGATTCATCTACAGTACATTACCTCACGTCAGAAACAACACGAGCCATATTGAGGCATGCTGTTATTGTTCTTCTGGCTCATATTGGATTTGAAAAGTCATCGGACACAGCTATAGAAACACTCACAGATATCGCTGATCATTTTTTGAGGAGAATGACTCTTTTAATGAAAGTGACATGCGAGCAGAAGGATCATGAATTTCATGTAAAATAAGATCTATTAAAAATCATAATATTTTAACTTCATACTTAAGAATTTTATTACATGATAAAATATTTTTATAGGATATAGTGGAAAGGGTTTTATTGGAAACAGGCGTTGGTGGGATAGCTGCACTTCACGACTACTATCAAGAATATGTCTTAAAGTTTGAAGAGAATATGAGAAAAAAGGCCGAAACAATGATGGAAAAACAGAGGCAACTTGATCTTAATGCTTGTAGTTCTAAGTCTCTAATTGCATCGAAACGACTATGATATATAGAAAAAAGAAGCATTACGTCGTCATCAATATTCTCTCATTTTCTAGGATGGTTTTAGATGAAGCAGCAAACAAACTGCAGTTCGAAGAACTCGATGAATTTGGTAATGTTTACCGAGAGGTTCCAACTCTTCAATTACTAGATCCTGAAATGGGCTTTCCTCCCAGTCTTGATGCTGGCTTTCAGATGTTATATAGTTTAGAGCAAGATGAGTAAGTTATTGATAATGATGTTAATTTCATATTGTAACTAAGATTAATTATTTTTAAACAATTTGATTAAATTGTTCCAATTAATAAGTAAAGATGAAAGATGTCTTTGTGTGCGATCCTTATTGGCAATACAATTCCCTGAAAAAATAAAAGTCTTCGTATTATATGTAAACAGTATTGTAATAGTAGCGGTTGTAGATTAAACAGTCTGGAAGTGGACGAGGAAGAGGTAAATGTGAGTGATTCTCCAAATATGGGACAACGATCTGATGCATCAACAGATAAAAAGAAGTCTTGATGTACACGATAATTGTATGATAATTGTATGATAATTGTAACATTAATAATTTTATGTTATCTAAGAAATTAAGAATTTAATTAATGTTTTTTAACATTAGAAAGTGATAAAAATTGTAATTAATTTTTATAAATTAATGATTTGTAAAATATTTAATAAATATTTCAAATTAAATTAATATTTTCCTTTACTTGCCAATATTAATGTTTGTTAATATACAAGCTAATTTGAGCTTTAAATAATAAGCAAGCGACCTCTAGAGGCAATATATCCAGACTAATGCCACGCATCCCAGAATACATTGCGAGGCCGTTGACAACACGTCAAAAATGGCAGATCCAACACCTAGTAAAAGTGATATTGAGGAAATTTTCAAAAGATTACGAGCTATTCCCACGAACAAGGTTTGCATAATTATTTATCACTTTATTCTACGATATCGAATCTTACGATAGTATTAAAATAGATGAAAACATAGCTGGCTATGAATTCAGAGGCAAAGTCTCAATTTAATTTCCAATCTGTAGTTCAAGGAAACTTTCGCGTCTTCAACGAACATATGAAACATTCTCTGACTAGATATTTCTGAAAATTTCGCGAGCACTGCTAAATATGAGGTTAAAAGTAATATTCTGCTGCACATCCAAATGTTTCATATTATCCTATCGTATATTGTTAAGTATCATAATTACATACGTATCTCTCCGTATATACGAATGTGCAATGTAGCGGAGCTTGTTCGTTCACACTAATACGCAAGAGAAATTATATGGATACGCTGTTGTAGAGATGTTAATGAAGACTGCATTACAACTGAATGAGACAATTAGACTAAAACACATAATAAATTGTATTTTTCTTATTTGATTTTTCCTTTAGACATGCTTTGATTGCAATGCAAAAAATCCAGCATGGGCCAGTGTGACATATGGTATCTTCCTATGCATCGACTGCTCTGCAGTCCATCGAGGACTGGGTGTTCATTTGACATTTGTGCGATCTACCCAACTTGACACAAGTTGGACATGGTTACAGCTAAGAAACATGCAATTGGGTGGAAATGCAAATGCTGTTAGTTTTTTTGTTAACGCAACTAATTTTGTTTCACATAATTCTTCGGAAAAGCAATTATTTAATAATTTAATTTCATGTTCTAGAGAAAATTTTTTATACAACACAATTGTACAACTGATGCACATCAGAAATATAATTCACGTGCTGCTATGCAATATAGAGAAAAATTGTCTCAAGCATCTGCTCAGGCCATGCAACGCTATGGGACAAAGGTATGCTTCTATAGATTTCTCTACTTTTAAACTTCCCAGAATGTAGACCTGAATTAATCAAATGTTTTATAACTATAAATATGATAATTATAGGTTTTACTTCCTTCGACAAAAAATAAAAAAATGGTGAGCTGTAAAACTATTTTCACAAGACAATATCATAAAGATACTAACAGATGCTTTGTATTTCATTTGTGAGGAACAAAATAGACTTTTGAAGTTGTTAAATGGTCATATTTTGCATTTATTTGATCTCGATAATTGTAAACAATTTGCACGATTTACATACAATGTTCACTTGCTACTATGTATTGTATTTCACACTTCTCTTATTGCTATGAATTACTTAAAGATATCGGTAGTACATATTTAACTCACCTGACATGTGTGTATTTTTAATGAAACATGGCATTCAAGTTATCATGTTATATTGTAGTTTATAAATAACTAACTTTCTTTTTTTTAATTCATCTTTTTCTAGCTGCATTTAGATGAAAATCCAGCTCCAACAACAGAGGATCATAACGAAATTGACTTCTTTAAAGAACATGAAAATTTTGATTTACATTGCAATGAGTCTTCAACCCATGTAGAAGGAAATTCAGTATCTCTTTCTAATCCTGTTTTAATAAATGACAACAGAGATAAAAGCAATCAGAAAGTTACACAGGAAGCAGGATCAAGTTTATTGGGACCCTCTGTTAAATTATCTGGTTCTGTCTCGAATTCGTTACCAGAAAGAAAGTCAACTATAGGAGTTAGAAAAATTCAGAACAAGAAACCTGTAAGTGCATAAAATATTTATTTAATATTTACATTTAATCGTGTGCAATTAAACACTCTATTTTTGTAGTGTTTCCTATTCTCTTAATATATATTGATTGTAACTATAAATTGATAGACTCTTGTTTACGAAAATATTTATACATTTCATATTTTTAATAAAATAGTTAGGGAAGAGAACTGGTGGATTGGGCGCTCAGAGGGTGAAAACTAATTTTGATGAGTTAGAAAAAAGTGTTACTGAAGCTAGTAAAGCATTGCAAGGAAAAAATCCTCAGGATAATGAAAGTAAAGAGGAACAAGAAGAAATTGCCACCCGTCTTGCTTACCGATATGAACAAAATTTAAATGAACAAGCTAAGAAAGTGGAGGAAAGAGCAAAGCAGTTAGATCCATCCAGAGCATCTCAAGCAGAGCGTCTTGGTATGGGATTCAATACACGAGGGTAACTATTTTACTTTCTGAATAAACATTTTTTTATTATTAACATTACTACCTTAGAATAAAAAAAATTACTACCTAATGAAAATTGCTACAAAATATTAAAGCATACATAATAAATACTTTACAGTGGTGCCAGTCATTCAGCACTTGCTGACATGCAGACGATAACACAGGAAACATCATCGAAAACTGTGACCGCGTCTGAGCCGAGGATTGTCGATGTGGAACGAGGTCCTTTCATTAGTTTAGATGAATTTTATGAAGCCTTATCAATTCCATACAGTAATAATACTAATAAGAAATCTCGCGGCGAAGAAGTTGTTGTAATAGCTGAGCCAGAACCACCGAAACGAGTACGTCCACCAAGTCTATCAAGCAATAACAAAAGTGATAGTAAAGTATCAACACCGGAGTCCGAAGCACAAAAGAAATTTGGTAGTGCAAAGGCTATCAGCTCAGATCAGTATTTTCAAGATAGCAAAGATGACGATTCCGTATGTGAAATTATCTAATAACAATTTTATCTTCTCTTTGTTTCTATGTATACTTAAAATTAATATTTTTGTAATTTCAATTATAGTGGGAACGTAAAAGCAATCTGCGTCGTTTCGAAGGTTCATCTAGCATTTCATCGGCAGACTACTTTGGCACAGAAAATTCTACACCCACTGCTCCGAAAATTTCTTTGACAGTGCGTTTCAGCGGTGGAAGCGCCGGAGTTGTGGAGTTCCACGATGTCAGGGAAAGTGTACGCCAAGGAGTGAACAAAGTCGCGGACAGATTAAGTTCCCTGGCGAACGCGGCTGTTTCATCTATACAGGATCGTTATGGACTTTGAATGAGGATCTACTGCATTTTACTAACATTATATGTGTTATAATACTTATATCTGGACACTTCTGGTCCATTGTTCGAAATTGTAAATAAAAGCTTATAATTCAGCTTATTTTAATCTCTCAACTTATTATACCTCTTTTTAAATTTTCTGGTGATAAAACTGAAGCTTGTAAAATTACGACGATAAAACATTGAACAAATAGTAGTCGACAAAGTCATTGAAGAGATTTTCGTAATATAAAACTTCAAAAAATAGTCATCCTCTGTATATGTTCCAATAGTACTTTTAATTTCGTATGTACCTTTTCAGTGTGCACAAAAAAATAGGAAAATCTCTTAGAAACTTCACCACTACGATGATAAATAAGTGGAGTCGTATCATAATGGTGTGAAATGAAACACAAGTCAATTACAAAATGATCGAATTGAGATATTAGCAATTTGACTAAGGATTTGTACAGTCCATTTCCTTAAATCGAGAAATGAAATGAGCATACGGTTTCCCATGTAAAAAGCAAACTATTATAACTGTCATATTGTCACAGCCAGTACCCATTAGAGTATCTGGAGCAAGGCAGTGTTTCACGAGTTCTTCACAAATTTCTTCAGGATCTGTTGTATCATTTTCCTGTCCTGTTCCAAGCTTAGGTTGCATTAAGCGTGTTCTTACAAAATTTATAACTTCGTTACTTGTCATAACGTCCCAGATACCGTCACATGCCAAAACAACAAATTCCCAATCTTCTGTTACTTCAAATTGTTGAATTTCAGGAAAAGCTGTAAATAAACAAAAATTCAGTAATCGCTTCAAAACATTTGAGGCACAATCTTTCATTAATACAGTAGACTTCCATATAACAGACTTCCGACACGCATTGAACGAATTCGTGCTGTAGGAACACGTGTTATACGGAAGTTTACCGTATTCGAGCCTACCAGTCACAATTTGTTCTTGCGGTGGTTTACGTTCATTTCTTTTGAACATAAAGTCTCCAAGAGCTCGGGATAAAGCAAGTTGACCATTGACTCTGTTAAATTCTACCCAACCACCAGCAGCTTCGATTCGTTCACGTTCATCTTTCAATGTAGGTTTATGATCTCTACTTAAGGGAACCGTGTGACCATTAATACTTGCTACTGCCCTACTATCACCTGCATTTGCCTAAAGAAATCATATAAGTCAATTAATAGAAGAATTAGTATCCAACTTAAAGAGCAAGAAGTTATTGTAAACTTACACTATATATAACATTGTCTTTAATAAGAAGAGCTATGACAGTGGTGCCTGCTTGTTCATCTCTGAGTACTGTATCATTTAACATAGCTTCATCTAATTCCAGAAAACCTTGTTGTATAGCTTGAACAATGTTACCAGTCTTATACTCGCTTCTTTTAGTTATGTATTCATGAAGATGTTTTCCAGCATGCTGTGCTATTGCAGCACCTATCAATATTAACCATTACCCATTTGAGCTTGGAAGCAACTATAGTTATATTTATTTATTATAAATTCCAATTGATAGAAGATGTAGTAAAATCTGAAATTTTCTCTTAAAATACATTTCTTTGGTTCATTTACAAAATAAATGCTCTAGCGAAGATACTAATATACATGAAATCCAATATTTTCATACGTTTACTTATATATTCTTACCTCCGTGACCATCATACACTGCAAAGAATGCAGTACTAGGATCATCTGGTAATGAAAGTATATGTACATGACAATCTTCCATTTTAGTACGCCATCCTTGCATACAAGCACTGCCAACTCGATAATTTGCATCTCTGCAGCATACTGACTTCCTAGTTGTCACAGGTTCGCTGAGTGTTTGACCCATTATGTTCCTCAAGATTCTGATATTATTTGTAATAAAATTAAGTTATTCATTTAGAATACACATTATATTTTTGCAAATACTATAAGCTGAACTGAAAAGAATTTTTAAATAATAATTATGTTTCTATAACTTGCCTGAAGTATTTATTAGAAAACTATTAAGAATAATTTACTTTAAATAAGCAAGCTTATATTCAGAAATTATTATTTTATTTTTAAGTTTCCTTCAAGAATATCCATTGAATATAAT